TCAGAAGTCACCGATCTTTCTCCCAGCCAGTCCGACCAGGGAACCTCTGGTGACGCCCCGTACCGACCGGGCTCGCAAGATCGCCGCCATACTCGTGCCAACTCCGAAACACCTACAGCCTTCTTCAACGGAGCCGCGGGCGGCTCAAACTCCACGAGTGTATTTGAATCAGGAGTCGATGGGCACGGCGACGACCTGTATCCCGTCGACCGGACCGACTCATCCAACCTGGCTTCCAATTCGCACAATTCGAGATGTGCCCGGAGCAACTCGTTTCCGGTGCGACCTCACACCCCTCCCTCCGGAGCCACGTTGAACTTGCACAGGCCATCAGCGTCAGGGGAGTCATCTCCAGCCAAGGACCGCAATCGCCAGCATCGGCTCCATTCTGCTTGGCGAAACAGTGGCGGATCGGACGCCTTTAATAGCTTCTTGGAGACGGAAGATGAGATTGACGTGTCGCGTAGCGCCCCGTCAAGTCCTGGTGGCAGTAGCAAGGACAAATCAACAAGCGATGGAAGTTCGAATGAAACCGGTTACACCTTTGACGAGTTAGTTGATCGGCTTGTGGCGCAGCCAATGTCAAAGCAAGACTCGAAGTTCTCATCGATCTTCTTGTGCCTGTATCGCAAGTTTGCGGCACCCGCCAGTCTACTCAATGCGCTGATACATCGTTTTGAACGAAATGAGAAGAACATCACTGACCAGCTGACGCGCATTGCCGATCAGTTGAGACTGCTCAACGTGATGGCACAGTGGGTATCGGAGTACCCCGGCGACTTGGCATATCCAAAGACGCGGAAGCGGATCCTGGATTTCGTATCAACGTTGGAGAAGAGTCATTTCTACATGTTTGCCGCCAAAGAGATCGGATCGTACCTCGAAGTGAACATGGAAGATGACGATGTTGGGTGGCCATTCAAAGACGGCGACGTGGAGGAATTCGATGACCAGGAAATCTTCTACGTCACTTCCGGCTGGAGCTCTCCATCTATGTTTCTAGGAGGGCCTACCTCAGGAGAAGATGAGGGTGAGGAAGAGGAGGAGGATCCCATATACAACATGAGCGCTCTAGATCTGAGCGAGGGCCCGCCAGAGCAGAGCACAAGGCTCTCGGGTACTTCTACGGTGGACAAGCCCGGCACGATCTCGAGCCAATCGTTCACGAGCTTGAGCATTGAAGCTGCGCAAAGAGAGTCCGAACACCTGGAGCTGACACCTAGCGTGCCACTGACCAAGATACAATGGCGACAACTCATGGAGATACCCGACGAAGAATTTGCACGCGAGTTAACACGAATTGACTGGATCATGTTCAACTCATTTCGACCGCGGGACCTTGTACGCCATGTCAGTATCTCCGGCCCGGACAAAGATAAGATTCAGAGCTTGAAGCATGTCAATCGCATGATCAAGCAATTCAACCATATCGCTTTTTTCGTGGCTAGTATGATCCTTCTTCGGGACAAGCCGAAGCACCGGGCAAGGGCCCTGGAGAAGTTTATGAACATTGCACAGGTAAGAATTAATCGTGAACAAGGGAAAGGAGATATCTAACTTTTAATTGAAGAAACTGCGACGGTTGAATAACTACAACTCCCTGGGTGCACTAATTGCCGGCATCAATGGCACTCCAGTACATCGGCTGTCTCAGACGCGGGAGCTGGTCCCAGTCCAAGTACAGAAGGACTTTATGAGGCTAGTGATCCTCATGGGGACGCAGAAGAGCCATTTTGCATATCGCTTAGCTTGGGACAATTCATTCTCGGAGCGAATTCCGTTTCTCCCACTACATCGCCGTGATTTGGTGTCGGCCGAGGAAGGGAATAAGACCTTTGTCGGAGACAACCGATCTCGGATTAACTGGAAGAAATTCGAGGTGATGGGAGAAGTCATTCTGGGCATCCAGCGCAGCCAGAAGACCCCGTATGCTCATATTAATCGGTATGAGGATGTGCAGCGGTTGATACTGGATATCAAGCTTTCCGGAGATGAAGAGGTTCGTGTCAAACCAACAGACGGCGATTCCATTTGCTAATGTGAGTAGGATTTGTATGCACGTAGTGTACAGGTTGAACCATCCACGGGCATCGACACAGGACGCAAGAAATTCGGCTGGCTGCGGTCTTGACCGGATTGAGCACATCCTCAGAAATGATTTCTACCACTATGACCTACCAACCGCCCCTACTTTCTAGCTACGAGCACGACTCATGCATCACTCTGGGGATATTTCCTATATCCCCTACACCCTGACGTGACATGCCTTCTGATGATTGACTGACGAGATGGTCAAATAACGGTTCAAGTGGTGGTAACCACTTGGTGTACATATATGCAACATACATAGTTGAATAATCAACATAATAATCAACGAAGATGCCTTTTCACCTTTTTCTGCGCTTCGTTTCATTTGCGTATTCTCTACACTTGTAGTATTTCCGTACAGCGGACGATAACATCACGTGACAATATCGCCTTCGAAATATCTCTACCACCCGACGACTCCGTAGATCTAAATCGACTATCTGATCATCAGTCTGTGACTCTCCTGCACCTCACCACCTAACAAACCCCCGTGCTCCACAAACCAAAACTCAAGAAAAAAACCAAAGAAGATGACACCCCACCTCCGCTCCACCTACCGCGCCATCCTCCGCGAACTCCCCCGCCGCACGCTCTCCAACCCAACGCCCCTGCAGCAACGCATCCGCGAAGCCTTCCGCACAGGCACAGGCACAAGCGAGCAATTGGCAGACACACACTTCGATCAGCGGGTACAAGAAGCCGAGCAGATGGCGCAGTATGCGCGTGCGCAGAGGACGTATGCAGCTCTTGTGGAGCGGTATAACCCCGGGATGACGATGACGGAGAAGGAGAAGATTCGGTTGACTGCTAGACGGGTGGGATTTGATTTGCCGATTGCGGAGGAGGGGGGAAAGGAGTGAACCACTGTCTCTGTTGTTGTGCGAGTGGATGGGATGGGATGGGATGAAGGGAAAATCGGGCTACGATGGGATAGATTTGGTTCGGGTATATGGAGGAAGTGCGGAGATGGTATAGAGACTGATTTGATTGTATTATAGCATTACTGGAGTTACGGCATGACATGACCTGTACAGGACTATGGTTGGCAGACATTCAATTGCATCCATCTGGGTTCTTATCTCTCGTGCAATTTGGGGGGGGGTTGGTTCGCGGCGGAGGCGTCGTGCGAGCATGTCTAGCCATGCGTCTGGTGTGCTGACGCTGACGAGCCGCGCGAAGCCTTGCCTGGTCTATCGATCCATACGATCGATGTTCGGCTAGGCGGACGGGTAGGGCCTGAGTCCTGATGGGAGGGTGCGCCATCGCAGAGCGCGTAGCAGCTTGTCAATACGGCGGTGGAGGATTCCTCCCCCCTGACTTAGCCGGTCGTCAACTGGACTCGCTCCATCTGTCTCATGAGCGTAGAGCTGCTTTCTTCCTCCTCGATTCCGACGCCCACTTCAATCGCGGTCTTGGGTCGGTTCTTGTTCAACCCGTCCAGGAGCATACACGCTTTGCAGATCTTCTGGCTTGAGATGTATCCGCAACGCTCACACTTGCCCATTGTTTGACTCTTGATCGCTCTCGGGTTATTCGCCTTGCCGCTCTTTCTCTTGGGGGCAACCGGGAGCTTGATCTCGGTCTCTCTCGACTGAGCGGCGTCATCTTCTGCAAGCTTCTTCTCCATCTCCGCCATTTCGCCACCGCTCGATCGACCATTTTGACTACCACAGCCACCCGCCGATTCATCGTCCTCTGCAGTAGCAGTAGCAACAGCGGTGCCGCCGCACTTCTTCCCGCTCGAACTAACCTCCAACGGCACCAGAGCAGCCATGTCCTCTCCGCTCTTGACAATATCCAAGATCGAGCTAGGGCGGATTTTCTCGAGATCTTTGATCAGCGTCCGGGCGCTGCCTCTGAACGCTTCAGGAGAGTAGATACACTCGGTACTGAAATAATCAAGCTTCTTGTGGTGCGCGTACAGTACGATCTCCTTCTCGTACGCATACTTGAGCGGTTTGCTGCGCTTGATATCCGACGCCGCCGAGTCCGTCACGATACTAGTCCCCCGCGACAGACGCGGCAGATCTCCTCGCAGTAGATTCATCATCACCGTCTCTGCTACATCGTCTGCGTTATGTCCCGTGACAACATGCTTGATGCCCAGTCGCGCAGCGCCCCGGTCGAGCGCTTGTCGCCGGAACACCCCGCAATAGGTGCAGTTGCCTTTCTTCCCAACTTGCTCGACGACCTGATCCATTGTCCAACCGTATAACTCGCTATACCCGACTATTTCCAGCGGCATATCGTACTGGACCGCGTTGCGCTTGACCGTCTCCAGACTATCGTCGCGATAGCCCTTGATACCCTCGTCGATGGAGAGCAGACATAATTCTAGACCGTAGTTGTAGCGCTCATTGAGAGTTTTGAGGACGGATGCGAGAACAGTACTGTCTTTGCCTCCACTGGCGCCGATGGCGACCCGTTCGCCGGGGTAAAAGAGGGAGGAGGAGGTGATTGTCTCGTGCACTTCAGTCTCGAAAACTTCGAGGAAGCAGGCGCGGCATAGCTTGTGCCGGTTCTTGGGACGGATAATAACAGCTCTGGCTTCCTTGCAGTTGAAACACAGCGTTGGAGGCATTTTGGTTGGAAGATATTGAGGGGAAAAGACCGAATGATGGAGATGAAGAATTTCTGAACCCCGCGATAATAATTATCAGTATTGATGGATTGATAGCTCTTTTGATAGGCGGATTCTTGTTGTTTGTTCCGTTTGCATTATGCTTTGTCAGCGGAGAGATGCTCGATAACGAAAAACAAAACAGTCCGACTTCAAAACAGCTAGGTAGTCATAAGAAGATTATATCTATCTATACAGCATTACCATAATCTATAATCACAGGCAAGTATCATATTACAGTACAATATCCCATCTCTCTCTCTGGTTGTGTATCGTCCCACTCATCGCGCGATTAAACCTTCCGGCGCAGCAGATTCGTGATCATTTCGCGACCTGTGACTCTCGTCGTGGCCCACAGGGTAGGGAAGTCAAGGGTGCTGGAGAAAGTATCGGCGTAACCGAAGAAAAGCATGGGAGGGATCCAACCACGGGCGTACTCGAGGGCAAAGCAGGACTGCTCCATCTTGTATTGCTTGACCTCGCCGCGGCGGAGGTGGTGGACGGTGCCAGGGGGGTAGACCTCGGGCTCGAAAGTGCCGGGAACGAAAGCGACCTGGGTTCCCTGAAGGATGTTGAAGTAGTCATCGGCGGTGTGGCGGCCGGTGTGGCCCTCGGTGCCAATCGCGGTGCCTGTCTTATATTAGAACAACTCGGAAGGGGAAAAGGGGAGAGTGCGAGGGGAAGTACCGAAGATGATCAAGTATTCGGTGATACCTAAATCATGATTAGCAGAAATCTTCCGGTAAAGACTGGCCAGCTGGGAGCCATTGAACAAACTTACTAGCATGAATGATGTACATGGCACCCATAGCACCGCCAGCATTGTTGAAAATCCATTCCTCGTTCTTGTTCAAGTGGTTTCCGGGGATCTTCTGGTCCAGCTCGGCGACGATGAAGTCGACCATCGCACGGGTGTCGTTGCCATGAGCCTGGACGGCGCGCTGGGAGAGATCGTGCAGTTGTTCGGGATTGAAGATGTAGAATTGCTCAAGACGAGCATCGAGGTAGCTGTACAGCGCAGCGAAGATGGCCACGAAGACCGCGAGGAAACCGAGTTTGCGCACGGAGAAGCAGCAGCAACCGCAGGAGTTCTTGCGGGCGGAATTTGACTGTGGGGAGGAGGATTTAGAGGGCATTGTGGAGGTCGTCGTGTAGATTAAAAGATCAGGTCAATTGAGAGACTAAAATTGACAATTGACAATTGACAGAATCTGGGGACGAAAAGAAGCTTAACAGGAGTAATAGGGATGATTAGTCCAGGCAGAAAAAAATATGGTGGAGTCCGCGGCGCCCGCTTAGATTTGGAAATCTACTGTGTACTCCGTAAATCCCTGGTTAGTTGAATGAGTTCCCCTGGCGTCGGGTTCTGTTTGTTTTTCCTCTTTTATTGGCTTGGAGGTTGGAGCATCTCAGGCCACCACGGATAGAGATATCCGAAAGTGATATCAAATTATCAGTTCAACGTCTGCTGTCGATTGAGCATCATCGTTATTATTATTCAATCATGAAGTCAAGTTGCCATTGTTGTTGAAGTTGGCAGCGCAATGTGTTGAGAGTTGAGACTGCTCTGTTATGTCAGCAAAACCAGTTGCCGCTCCAGGTTGGAAACTCTTCTCAATCCAGTGAGGATCCAAGTCACTGTATGCATTCGAACAGAGTGTATATGGATCGGTATTTCTGACTGAGCATATCTTTTCTCTTCATATGGTTGCAATGAAGGGAAGTACATCTGCACCCTGGGACAATACTTCAGAACAGAAGCTGGAAAGGCCTAGGCAACACCCAGTTGCAAGAGGATTAATGACGACAGATGTAGCTTCTGCAGCTGCATAGACGCATTTTGGATGTCGGAATCTGAAATTATGAGCCCTCCTATAATGACGGTGAGAGGACTGCCTAGATTCCTTCCGTGATTCCGGTCAACTATGCTCTATTCATAGTGCCGTCCCCAGCTAGGTACTCTACTGTGTACGTCAATCAATAGGATGAAACCGCCGGTTGTATATGGGTCTATATTAACTCGGAACTTCTCCTGAGGAGACTCGACTCTCCAGTCAACACTATCAGAAATACGGGACAATAGAGAGTCGGTAGCAGGAAAAACTTCCAACAGACTGTGGATCTCCCTTTAGATGAAACGGGCATATTTTCGTCCACGTCAGGAATTCAAGCTGTTAGTTGTCACCGCACAGGTCAACCACAACATCAACAATTTTCTGAATCCTGCAGACCTGATTCTTTGGTCTCGCCAAGCTACTAGCATCACTCGGTGACGAGAGGCCATATACTCTGGGAATCTGGAGTGCAGAATGCGGGGTCCACATACGTATGTCAATCTATTTCCACGCAGCCATATCCTCACCCACAATGCTTCTTTCTTTCTACATTCGCTCAAACCCAATGTGATTTCCACCAATATCCTCACTGCCCCCGGAGACAATTCTCGTTTTGGTCGATCATTCCGTGTCTTCGTCGTCTCGGATTGTTTCATTCGTCGGGAATTGTCCGGCTAAAATGGACCATTCCGCGACCTTGAGAGCCACATGTGGGGAGCAGCCAGTGTGGGTGTCTCAAGTTGAAGCTTGGGTATAGATTGATCCACCAGTCAATGGGACCACCCGGTCCACTGAGTGAGTCTTGAAGATTGAGGGTGATGATCAACGCATCAAAGAGGTCAAGCGTCGAAAGAATCAAGCCATGGGTACTCCGTACAGGATAAAGGCCCAAAAAGGAATTTCCCCAGGGCGGGTTCAGGAGAGGCAGTTAGGAAACTATAAGAGTCGGAGGGCCCTCATGTCTATTCGGTGTGCTCTCTGTCAGTCAACAGATCATCCTCGCAAGAACTTGAACGATTATTCAGAATGAAGTTCAGCCTCTCTGTCGCCCTCTCGCTCGCCGCAGCGACTGCCCAGGCAGCCACCCAGTTCTGTGACCAATGGGGCTCGGTCACCGAGGGCAACTACATTCTTTACAACAATCTTTGGGGTCAGGCCCAGGCCACCTCCGGCTCCCAATGCACCACCTTTGAATCTCTTTCGGGCAACACGATCGTCTGGAACACCAAGTGGTCTTGGTCCGGTGGCCAGGGCCAGGTCAAGAGCTTCGCCAATGCCGCTCTGCAGTTCACCCCCAAGAAACTGAGCAGCGTCAAGAGCATTGACTCGACTTGGACGTGGAAGTAAGGCAGTCCTTACAGATTCTCCGTGGATGTGAAGCTGACGATAACAGCTACTCTGGCTCCAACATCGTCGCCGATGTCGCCTACGACATGTTCCTCAGCACCTCCCCCGGCGGCGACCACAACTACGAGATCATGGTCTGGCTAGGTGCTTTGGGCGGCGCCGGTCCCATTTCCTCGACGGGCTCGCCCATCGCCACGCCTACCGTCGCTGGCATCAAGTTTAACCTGTACCTCGGCCCGAACGGCTCGATGCAGGTGTACAGCTTCGTGGCCCAGTCGACCACGAAGAGCTTCTCCGGCGACATGCGCGACTTCTTCACGTACCTGGAGGGCAACCAGGGACTGTCCAGCGACCTGTACCTGGTCGACGTGCAAGCCGGTACCGAGCCCTTCAGCGGAAGCAATGCCGTTTTCACGGTATCCGACTACTCTGTCAGTGTTGCCTAAGCGTTCTATGAAAGGCAGCGTCTAGCTTTTGTGTATATAGTTAGATAATCCAATCTGTTTATCAATCAATTTGTTGGAATCACACAAAATCCAAACATATAAGTTTCACTACGCGCCCTCGTTTCAAACAACGACTGCAACATAAGGCGCCTGCATGCTCCTCCGTAAAGTCTAGCGTCGACACACTCGTTTCAGATGCAGTCAGGCCTCAAAAACGTATGTATCTATGTGCCTCATTTTCAGCTCCCAAGTTGCAAGCCAGCGGTGCTGAATCGCCTTCTCTATCACTCGACCCAATCGCCCCTTCGAAGCATGTTGGACATCAACCTCTTCCAAGAATAACCGTATCCACAGTATCAACTTGACACATTATGGGCCAGGATCCATTTGTATATATAGCAATCGACCCGCGTCGCGCGCGCGAAACGAGACAGAGGAACATGCGCTTAAGCGCCCATGACCATCCCTGCGTCGGGCGCTTAGACCACTTACTCACTACAGTACCCGTTCGTGAACGACAGATATCTGCAGGATGGAATATTAATAGTAGCAGGGGAGTAGCAAGGTCAATCCATTAGTTACTAGATAGTACTCGTGCTCCGGAATTGAAGTTGCAGATAGATTCCTGTCCTGCTCCTTGCGAGCGGCCTTTGGGTCGTGAATTGTGGCGGGCAGGGCCAGAGATGCAATTAGGGGGAGGGGAATGTAGGAACTAAGGCAGGTACTTTCGTGCTAGACAGTATCCGTGATGGTTTGATCCAGGTTCGTAGGAGGAGGGAATATGCTCCTGACACGAGTGTAGTCGGGGGTTTTTTCGCCGGGGATGACGCATGGAGGGGTACAGCCTACGACAGGAGGGGCGTAGTCACTTGTCAATCAAGGTCTCGCTCATTATGAATGGTAGGATTTGATTGCTGAATGCGAATCTGGACGCATACGTGATATCATATATCGAGTCCAGTCCGTTCTCTGACTGTGATGATGTGTGGAGTGCAGACTGCGGACTGCATCATGCACCACTACTATTTTGCCAAAGAATGAGTGGCGCCTGCAACTACTTCCGGATCCTGCTCTGTCATGATCATGATTCATGAATTCGGTTGAAGCTAGGAGAACCTCCTAGAGTGTTCAAGAGAGGAGCAGAGACAGTTGGATTCCAGACTGAACGGCCCTTGTCAAGCAAGTCAATGGATGGGATAGAGTCAGTAGACGCGTTGCGCGGATTCCTGGCCGGAACAGGAGCGCGTTTCGCCCCAGGAAAAGGTTTCAGTGCTACGTAGAGGCTGAGGAGTAGATGAATATTTGCCTTGCTAAAAGACAATAAAAGTATGGTAGTGTTTGAGGGATGAATTGGAAGGGAGCAATGATTCGTTGGCGATGCTCTGTATTTCTCCTGCCACTGCATTTTCCACGATGCATTATGGAGTCGGGTATCAAGATCTATTACTGCCTCCTCGCTTTCTTGACTACAGTGCAAGACAATCAACTGAAGAGTAATTAGTATTTCGATACTACCTTGATGTGCCTAAGTACTCTGTAGACGATCTATAATTAATTCCAGATTGTCCATAATGCATTCTGATTTGTTCTTGTGCTGGATAGGGCTTGTACCAATCATCGCGTGCAATCCAATCGCGCGCCAAAGGGACAGTTCCAACATTGACCCTTGAAGAATCAATCAATCAACGACAGTCAATCAGTCACTGGAATCCAGCGTTTGAGATGATCCTCGATTTCATTCGATCCGCTCCTGTCCTCTTGTCCCCATCCAGGCCGGGATGATAGACCAGGTTACCTAGTGCCTTACCAGTTATCCCTGTGGATGCTCCTGCTGGCTGAAATGTCCTTGCAGCTGTCCAGCCGCCCTGCACCACCACCTTAATTGCAAACATACCGACCCATTGATGGATGAGCGATGGCGATCAATCAGAATCCAGACTATGTGGCCGATGATGAAGCTACATTCATGAGTTCTTATAAAGTACATCAGGTGGCCGCCTTTGCTGGATTCTTCACGCGGTCATCCACATGCTCAGTCTTGCCATTTCTCTTTTCAGTCTGATCCTCCTTTCTTTTTACTCTTCTCTTGCAATAGTAATCATTAATTGATTTGCTTTTGATTGTTATAATCAGCCCTATCCACTTTCGCTGCATTTGCATTGTCTTGGTGTTACTTCACTGGGCTTTACATTCACTCTATATCCACCACCAAACCGGACGTCTTCTCAGTTCCGATCGACGCTCAATACGAACTTCAGATCAAATTTTTTAGATGATCTTGTACTCAGTGTGTCACTGAAGATCTATTTCAGGCTCAGCGCTGCCTTCCTGCTTTAAAGATCGCCAGTCCCAGAGCACACTCCGACAGGTTGACACGACAACCTTATCCTCTCTCTCAGCATTCCAGAACCACATTATTCCTGCTGGACGGGAATTTGATTCATTTTTAAAACATCGCTGTCCGACCTGTGTCAGCTCGTCGCCAGAATCTCCCTCTGTCCTTTTCCC